CATCGGTGGTCAGGCTCACTGGCTTGGTTGATGCATGTCATCGTATCCTAATTGCGTGGATCGATGCTCACGATGTCAATCACTGGATTGTCTGGTCAGACTCGATTATTTACAGACCGCCGTCATATAGCTGAAATATGCCTTGTGCGACGATAAACACCTAACAAAACCAGTTGAAAATCAAACATATGATAAAATCAACAGAGAGGCAGTGGTACCTTTGCTCTTCAGTTTATATACGGTCATTTTCATATAACTCTTACCTTAAAAAAGATGGTAAATAATGGGAAATGAATAGCTTTAATATCGCTTACTCTATTTTTTCAACTTTAACTTAGCCAAACATAACGATTATGTATATTTTCAACAAGGCTACCTCTAGTTGGGCGAGTCACGAGTCACCATGCATAGCATATGCTAATTAACATATTTATTCCTTTCACTGTGTAAGTGACGTAAGTTGTCCCAAGGGAATAAGGGTTGTGAGTGAGTTGGGTTTAACGCCGCTTTAAACAGTATTCCAGTTATATCGTGGCGTGTCAGCTTAATGTGGGAGGAAAGCCCGAAGTGATGCAGGTCTCAGACGATAGAACCCACGATCACGGCTATGGTTCTGACAAACCAAGAAACATAATCGGGGCGAGTCGGGGTTCCAACCCACAATCATAAGTTTCTGGCGTGCCCAAGGGACGCAAGTCTGCATAGCGAATCGCGGCGCATTAGACGACTGGGCCACCCGTGCCCCCAAATAGGGACGGTGAGGTAGCCTAGTGGTTATAGCGTTCAAACGTCACGCGGAAGACCCGAGTTTGATGTACAATGTGTAAAGCCTATTTCTGGTGTCCTCCGCCGCGATATTGCGGGAATATTGCTAACAACGGCGCAAAACTATACAACAAAAGCGAAACATCTATTTGACCTGGAATTTGGATGTCAAACTAAACGTTAAATGCGATAGAACAGTGACGATGTCATCAAATACATGACGAATTCAAGAAGGAAATGTGTAGTTTAGTTGAGTGAGTGAGATAATGAGGTTTTGCTCCCTTTTAGCATCAGCTGGCGTGAAGAGTCAACGCCGTAGCCCCTAAAACGCACCCAGGTACGCATGCACGCATTAGCATTGGTTTGTCGGATACAGACTCGCTGGGAAGGTCCGAATGTCCAACATTGTTTTAACGGGTGGTTTGGGAACTCAACCAACTCCTACAACTCAAGTAAAGATGTTGATGATACAAATCCTATTTCCGTTGGTTCCAGAACGAACAAGACTTGTCCAATACCTGCAGTTTGTGACAAGAGACACATCTGGAGGTTTCATGTCAAGAACAAAATGTCTTCAGAATTTAACTCCTACGCCTTGTCTCTTTCCATCAGAATAGAGAGTAAAGACACGCAGACAGTATGAGATTAACCACCCACCTCGGACAAATGGTAGTGTTTGCAATACCAGCACACGACCTTGATTCAGTCTTAATGGACCATGAGAATCAATTTGAGTCAAAACCATTTTGAAAAACTAAGCGCCCGAAACAAATTATGTTGGAACTGTTTGACTTAATCATCATTATTACGGATGTTAATACTCAACAAAGTATCTCAGATTATGGTTCCGAAGACTCCAAGCATGGGATGTTGCTAATTGGCACACGTGTTATGCCATCATTACTGAAGGAAACGTGTTAGCGGGACTTATTGCCAACGTTTTAGCTCTTCCTTGAAATCGATCGAACAGAAATAAAAAGTGACCTCAACAATATTTGTCCAGGCACACAGGTCAGCAAAACAATTACAAGAAACCTCGATTAGTAACAAGACATAGACCTTTATTTCGCATACATGACCACAGTTAAAATTTACATCATAATCATGTATTATTGTTCACAGGTAAGTAGAAATGTCAGATATATTCAATCTGGATGGTATATTAATATGATTAAATTTCTAACTGAAACTTATCAAATGTCAGACTTTATCTCGTCACAATATGTCTGTAATATTGCCGATGTGACGTTAAATTTTTAACTCCCTCACTCCTACTGGAACTGACGATCACAGGAAAATATAACGAAATATATTTGTTCAATAAAACAATTTAAGTTCATTGAAGGTTAGATATCTTTGGGTATTGTTTGACGTAACGCAACAAATTTAAAAGTCGTTGTGGCGATGTTACACAATTAAAATGACTTAAAAGAGCAACATTAGACCCTGTACCTTCGTAATAGAGTCCTCATTTAGACAGCGACAACGGCTGCGACAGCGAATTACGTTGCCGACTGTGACATCATGTAATCACTGCCAATTGAAACACGTAACCCAAAACGCCTATGTTTTAAGGTATTCATTCCACATGAAGACAATTACACGTTCACACATACACTCATTACTATGGTAGAATAGGTCTTCAGCAACCCATGCTTGCCATAAAAGGTGACTATGCTTGTCGTAAAATGCGACTAACGGGATCGGGTGGTCAGGCTCACTGACTTGGTTGATGCATGTCATCGATCCCAATTGCGTGGGTCGATGCTCATGATATCAATCACTAGATTGTCTGGCCCAAACTCGATTATTTACGGACCGCCGTCAGATAGCTGGAATATTGCTGAGTGCGGCGTTAAACAACAAACCAACCAACCAACTACTATGGTGGTAGTGGTATAACTTAAGGACGTCTTGGACCAGAAAGAAGGTGTATTTGCGCCAAACATCGAATGATTTCTGACCCCTGCCAGTCGCCTCAACAAAAATACAAGTAGATTTACTGCACCAAAGGATTTTACCATGTATGACATCGTTGACGATTGCTCCGATGAAATGACAGAATAACCTGCTTAATATAATAGATTAGAAAATCAAGCAAACACAATTTCGTTTAATTTTTTTTATGTTCTTTCAATACAAAAGCAGAAAATTAAACAGAAAGTGAAAACTATTTGGTTTAATGTTCAAATCAATTTCTACCAGACGTCATATTACATTGTCTCATACTTGTCTGAATCCGTGAAGATCCGGGGTAGAATAGGTCTTCAGCAACCCATGCTTGTCGTAAGGGGCGACTAACGGGATCGGGTGGTCAGGCTCGCTGACTTTGTTGATGTATATCATCGTATCCCAATTGCGTAGATCGATTCTCATGATGCCAATCACTGGATTGTCTGGTGCAGTCTCGAATATTTTCAGACCGCCGTCATATAGCTTGAATATTGCTGAGTGCGGCGTTAAACAAATCATACCTGTCTGATGCAGTCACACACTCTCGTATTGCCCTTTGACTTGAACCGTAAAACATGTTGGGGCCACACAGAGTGGCTACCTCCTTGACATCAACACTTGAGTAGGGGTTTAGTGCACAGTGACCAAGACTCATTGCTATTGACACAAGCTTTCGTCGTGTCATGGTTTTCTGATTGTGGATTCGAATACAGATTCGCTTTTATTATGATTCTTGATTTGTCAGCACCATGTCGGTGGTAAACGTTTGAGAGCTGAATAATTTTGTGCTCTCGGTCCAGCTTTAAACCAAACTCACCCACTCAAGCTTAACATAACTGCCTTATATTACCCCTTGACAATATGGGTTTGATTTTTGCTATTGCATATGTGCACATATGTTTCATGGACGCGTCGAAACATGATTCCTGTATATACTGAACAAATAAAATTAGGGATCGTGAATGTGTCTGGTGATAGTTTGTGCAGTGATGACTGATTTTCCTAAAATGTGTATGGTATGTAAACATATTTCATGATCCCGAACATTTTGTGTTCAGTACACAACATTTTCGTGCCTCGTATGTATTTGGTGTCATACATAACTACAGCAAACGTGTGTCCATATATCATCAACATTCACTGATAAGCTTTCAACCTTGGCTCGTGTGCCTGATAAGATTATCTCCACAGCACGACCACCATGTGACGAACATTCAGAACATTATCGGGCGACGTGTACTATGACACAACTGATCTACTTATCTTAAGTAAACATCGAGACAGTTGACCTGACCCAGTACCGAACAATTAAATCACACTATTATAGCCCGGGGGTGGGGTTTGGTGGTGTGGGGTGGGGTGAGGTGGGGGTGTGGGGTGGGGTGGGGTGGGGGTGGTGTGTTACCCACAGGTAGCACTCGTCATGAGTGAAGATCGAGGTGATCATATTTCTGTTATGTCATTTCGTGTCAGCTTGATGTTGGAAGAAGGCACGAAGCGAAGTAGGTCTTGAACGTTATCCATGTTGATGACAAACATAATCAGGGCGAGTTGGGATTCCAACCCGGGCAATGATCATAGGTATGTTCTCAGCGAATTGAGGCGTCTTAGACAAGTAGACGACTCGTGAGTCACACAACACACCGGGGTCAACTATTTATTTACCTTTAAAGTCTGCGACCTTTCTATCGCACTTAGAACAACTTATTAGCAACAGTCAACTTGTATAATACGGTGCACAGTGCAGGAGGCATAACATATGTTACTGTATATGTTTTGGTTTTTTGTTTGTTTGTCTGTTTGTTGCTTAACGCCGTACTTAGCAATATTCCAGCTATATGACGGCGGTTTGTAAATAGTCGAGTCTGGACCAGACTATGCACTGATTGATATCATGAGCATCGATCCACGCAGTTTGGATCCATGACATGTATGAACCAAGTCAGCGAGCCTGACCACGCCTTTTACGACAAGCACGAGTGGCTGAAGGCCTATACTACCCCGAATCTTCACGGGTCATATGTATATGTAGAAAATCTGGAAATCTGAGTACACGTAGAAACTCTGGAAATCTGAGTACACTCTAAATGGATATATTATTACTCAAACTGTAATATACTCTTGTTCTGTATCAGCAGAAAAGGTGAACTGGCACTTAGAGGGACAGTTCATACAATTGGGATTCCAACCCAGACCACGATCATATCTGTGCCCAGCGAATTGAGGCGCCTAAGACATCTGGACGACTCGTGAGCTCCTGGTATTATGACTCAAACAACACACCGGGGCTACTATTTATTTACTATTTATGACGCGATAAAGCACTGAATAGAGCCAAATGTAATCTTATATTTGTCTGGTATAATCATAAGTACATTGAACATACATTGACAGTCGGCGACCTTGCTGTCGCACTGAGAACAACGTATTAGCAACAGTCTACTTGAATAATATGGTGCACAGTGCATGAGGCGAGGTCTGTATTCGTAGAAAATCTGGAAATCTGAGTATGAAATTAATACAATTACTCAAACTGTAATATAATCTTGTTCTATATATCAGCAATATAGTTCAACTAGCACGTTAATGGGATAATTAATAAATTTAGGGTAAAGAAGTCAAATAAAAACATTAACAACGGCATGCGTGCGAGACACACCCGGGTGGTCTTATGGCTGTAATTGCTGACAAGTTCTGTAAATCACTGGAATGTGAAGCTGTTCAATAACTGCTATTACACATAGTGTAGGATAATTCGAGGCACAAAAGCCGATGTTCCTTGTGTTCCTCAAGGCGTAGGTGTGTCCTGACATCGCATTCAACGACAAAGATATGTAGTACAGTAAACTACGGTTATAACGAACACGCTTATAACGAACTGACGGATATAACGAACTACTTTTTTGGTCCCGACTATTTGCTGTAGTTATGCTGTATATATGCTTATAACGAACTACGGTTAAAACGAACTAAAATTAGTAGTCCCTTTGAGTTCGTTATAACCGTACTTTACTGTACAAGTACATTTAGAAGTGAATAAAACACATTCATTCATATACAGTGAACTACGGTTATAACGAACACGCTTATAACAAACTGACGGATATAAGCGAACTACTTTTTTGGTCCCGACTATTTGCTGTAGTTATGCTGTATATATGCTTATAACGAACTACGGTTAAAACGAACTAAAATTAGTAGTCCCTTTGAGTTCGTTATAACCGTACTTTACTGTACAAGTACATTTAGAAGTGAATAAAACACATTCATTCATATACAGTGAACTACGGTTATAACGAACTAACGGATATAATGAACTAACTTTTCAGTCCCGACTATTTGCTGTAGCTATACTGTATAAATGCTTATAACGAATTACGGTTATAACGAACTAAAATTAATAGTCCCTTTGAGTTCGTTATAACCGTAGTTTACTGTATGACAAAATCATTTCAAGCCTGCTTCAACTATAATTGAAGCCTCTCTCGGGCGAGTTTTGCCAGTTCCTTTCGGTTCAGTTTAAGAGTTTTTGTGACAGGGAATGTTTCAAAGAACACAACATATTTTGGAACTACGTTCATGGTAGAAGGAATATTCACCATAATTGCAGCTTTAGCAAAGTTGAGAATGTCTTCTTCACTTGACTGAGATCCGTCATTTCGCTTGACGCATGCACATATTTCTTGGTGAAGAACTTTGTCTGGCACTGGAACAATGAAGAGCTGTTCAACTCCAGGGCATTTGTCCAGTTTCTCTTCCAGCCAGGTCGGGTAGAGGATGTAGGCACCGTGCATGATAGCATCTGAACTTCTCCCCTCCACACTCAAAAGACCTTTCGCGTCAACGTAACCAACATCATCCATACGAAACCAACCATCTGTCAGAAAGGAGGCCATATTCCCTGTGTCTCCAATGTAACCGTTAGTTAGAGTCTCCGAACGTACGATGATTTCCCCCCGTGTTTCGCCATCCACTTCATTCAGCTCTGAATCAACTACTCGAATCTCCACTCCCTGCACGGGGTACCCTGTCATATTTTCCTTGAAGTCGTGTTTACTACTTTCATTAAGATAAACAACACCCATTGCGCCAATTTCGGTAGAGGCATAGAAATTCAATATGGAATCTGTAAGATGGCCTATTGCTTCAAGACAGTCTTTCTTCAAAGGTTGCCCACCAGTCAAAACCTTCTTTAGTTTCTTTCCTGCAGATTCCCAAAGATCTCTTCGTCTGAGAATGCCTATTAGCTGGAATGATGCGAAGCCTCCAAAGGATACATTTTCATCACATATTATGTTCCAGACAAACCTGAGCATGTCAGCTTCTCCTCCAACCGCATCATCAATCATGACAGTCGGAGAGCCAGAGTACAGGAAATATGCTGGAAAACCGCCAATCCACCCCAGAGGAGCAGTAGTAAAAGAAACATCTTCTTTGCCACTTATTCCAGTGATCGCTCTTGACCTGTGAGCTATGAGAAGAAGGGCCTTATGTGTATGTTGAACCAGTTTACTGTATCCGGTGCTGCCTGATGTGGCAAAGATAGAGGCGATATCTGAGGATTTTCTACTCCTGCTGATGTATGTATTGCTTGGCAGAGATGTTAGGAATTCTGACTCTGGTTTTCTGGTTCTACAATTTGCCAAATGCACCAGACTAGGTACATCTTTGCTCTTGATAACAGAAGCGTGTTTGCTGTCAGATACCACCTGGAACCTCTGCTTACATATGCTCCATGCACCGTTTTCTTGATCTGGATCAGCGACAAGAATTTTGCATTTTGATTTACACATTGATTCAATAATATCTTGTCCATCCGAACGTAGAATTTGGCCGTTCATAGTCACGGCTCCAGCTAAATGTACACCGAAGTCTACAATGATTCTCTCCGGGCAGTTCGGAAGAGCAATGCACACCACATCACCAGGTTGAACACCAAGTTCAGTCAATCTGAAAGCAAATCTACTGGATAGGTCCAGGACATCTCCCCGTGACAAGACATATCTGCCATTTTTGCTCCGGAAAATAAAAGCAGGCGTGTCAGGTTCCGTCTCTCCCCAGAAGCAGATTCTATCACAAAAGGTTTGGCCAATGCAAATATGTTTGCTTTCTGCCATCTTATTATCTTCAGCTGTAAAGAAGTAAAACAGTTTCGTCCAAATGGATACTTCAATACTTGTAATGCAGTGGTACACCAAACACAATATAAGCCGCGTTCATGTTGAATAGAAGATCCCCAGGCAATACTACATGTAAATATTTGCCTTATCAAAGGTCTTAAGGTGTAGCCTGACTAATTGTGACATTCATATATATGTCCTATATTTTCTCATATCCCAAATTTGATTTTAAATCATTATAATATATTAAAATTAATATAATACATATGTTATACTTACTCGTCCCCCAGTTTGCAATACTGATCGTGTAAACCTTACATACAAGCATTTTATGTGTTATTGAGGCCGTTGTATTGCGCAAGATAATCTGGGATATATCATTGCCCTTGTATCAACAATGACTCAGCATACAAAATCTCTAGATAAGATATGACACACATCCAGATCGTGCATAGCCTGGGTTTCGTGACATTCTAGCAACCTTGACCTTGAGTAGGTATACTATTACTTTGTGTTTTGAGGTTAACTGGGACTAGGGTAAAACTGATTGATTATTTGTTGTTTAACGCCGCAGCAATATTCCAGCTATATGATGGCGGTCTGTAGATAATCGAGTCTGGACCAGACAATGCAGTGATTGACATCATGAGCATCGATCCACGCAATTGGAATACGATGACATGTATCAACTCGATCCCGTTAGTCGGCTCTCACGACAAGCACAGTCGCCATTTGCGGCAAGCGTGGGTTGCAGAAGACCTACGCCACCCCGGATCTTTACGGGTCGACTTGAGGAAGAAACGTACTGAAAGCCTGACATCAATTCGTGATTTTTCCATTGTTATATCATGTTCATATGTTTTATCAGTCTGCATTAGACAGTATGTTTGTCTGTTTGTTATGTAACGTTGCAGTCATCAATATGACTGCTGTCTATAACTAGTCGAGCCGCATTTGACAGTGTAATTATATGTAGTATAGCAATGTTTAGAGATGTTGTTCATGCAGGGAGATATGGATTAACACCCGAGTTGTGTATGGTTGGTTGGTTTGTTTTTTAACTTCGCACTCGGCAATATTCCAGCTATATGACGGCGGTCTTTAAATAATCGAGTCTGGACCAGACAATCCAGGGATTAAAATCATGATCATCGATCCACGCAAATGGGATCGATGACATGTATCAACAAAGTCAGCGAGCCTGACCACCCGATTCCGTTAGTCGCCTCTCACGACCATCTTCCCGAGGCAAGTCCAGTTTCCACCTGATCAATTGACGGAGATAATACTGTAGCCCCTTTAGCATGCGTTAGTGTGTGGCTTTGTGGCATTTTAAAAATTACGTTATGCATATTAATATCTGAATCATACAGTGGACCTTTGGTAGTTCCTCTGAATATGGGATATTGTGTGTCGCAGTTATTTATAACTGTAAGAGAGTGACTTGTGTTAAACCCTGCTTACAGCAACACCTCTGTTATATCACATCTGTCACACTAATGTGGATACGAGGAAGTGATCATGACTCTGATTGTAACACACAATCAAGATGCGGTGCAGAAATACCGATGGTCACAATCAAGACGAACATGGGATTCTAGCTCGTGACCAACGATTGGGTCGTAGCTCTGCACAGGAAAATGCAGTGACTCTTGACACAGTCACCCTTTCCAAACAACACGGTTGTACCAGCGCTCCTGTTTGAAAATGTCAACCTAGTGATGAGTAAGGAAAAATTATTCTTCATGATCATATTCACTGAACCATAAATGATTCGAATGTGATATGAAATTGTTGAAAATATCAACTCGGTCTTGTCACTATATGACTGGAATAATGCCGATGCGACGTTAAATTTTAACTCACTCGCGCATGTGTTCCTGAACACAAACCCTACCCCGGATCGTGATGGTATTAGATATCCCACTCACACGGGAGGTAAAGGTGAGTGAGCGTGTTTGGTTTAACGGTGCTTTGAACCGTATTTCAGTCATATCACGACGTGTCAACTTGATGTGGGAGGAAAGCCATATTTGATGCAGCTGTAGCGGCCATAAAATGTCTGAGTCCCGTGATGGGATTCGAACCAAGGACCTCCTGATCAGACGCCTTGTCCACATGACAAAAGAGGTTAACCCCGTCAGCATGCTGACAAGGTAAGTTTGTCATCAGTGGGACGAATCCACACCCTGCTGTACAGCCCTCAAACCTTTACTTCTTTTATGAAACCCACGTGCACTGGTGCTGACAAACCATGAAAAATAATCAGGAATAAACTGGAATTCAAACCACTATTCTAGGTTTCCGTTACGCCTAAGACATGGCTCAGCGAATTGCGGTGACTTTGACGACTGACCTACCAGAGGCCTCTGTTTAAGGATGTTCCAAGTCGGGAATATTAACATCTTAAAGAGAAGATAAGTCTCTTTTACAGCAGCACAGGTTAGCACCTTGTGATAAGAATATGGCTGGGAAACTCTGTCAGAACAATTAGAAGTACTAATACGAACGAGTCAGTAAAATGTTTAACAGACAATCGGCGGTCGGGCTAACATGTTTAAAGGTGCAATTACCTCCATAGGTATACGGGCTGGACACCATACAGATTCAGGATAAGGCTAGACACTATAAATTGTAATGTTGCATTCATTAGCTAGGCCTTAAGTGACAATGTGGTGGAGAATTGCAGTCACTGACTCCAACATGGCTACTGTGTTTCCATCCCTTGAATCAGTAACTGGCACTGACTACCAGTTGATGCATCATGCAAATGTCAGTATCTCAGAGGGCATGCTCTATATAACAGTAATCTGTGAATAATTGAAGTTATTTACAAATTAGATAAATGAAAACATAAATACATGTAGACATATAAATACATAAATAACAAACATGAAAAAATTAACTTTTCTGTTTATTTTATGCAGGTAAAGATTTTTCGGTTATTCACTTTGATTTACAGTATACACAAATGATTATATACATAGGTACATGATTACATAGATCATATAAACAACAAACATTTGAACAACTACTTTGAAATGGTAAACTAACCTATTTTGAAATGTCCTGTTTAATATATATTTAATTTATATGTCAACGTAAGGACTCCTTAGAAATATAGCATCACATCTGGGTATATATTTCAAACATCAACACCTCTCACCTACATGTACGTCAGAAACCTATGATCATGGGTTATGGGAGAGAAATGAGTGTATTCCTTCTGCCATTTATTTCATTTTGAGGAGAAAAACATATAAGATCTTCAAACGTAATATACCACTATTACAATGTACACAATACCACGTTATGCATTTCCCTATGTATTCAAACAAAATAATATACATAATTCAGTTTAAAATCAAGAAAGACCAGTAAAATAAATTCAAACACCTCCGCAAATATTACATTAAGAAACGGTAAAGAAGTGACATGTTACAATATGACCTTTAGTCATCGCGACAGTAGGCTAAATGTTACCAAAAAGACAATGACTTTCATGTCCTATCTGTTCTATCATTTTATGAATAGAATATTAAGTATATTCATTTTATGTGATAATAATAGGCATCAGTCTTTACTAGCCAGATAAAGTTTCTTAGAGAAATAATTACGGGTTTGTAGGTAAAGCACATCAAATAAATCCCGAGCATATTGGACATAGAAAACGCTAAAAAGCAAAAAATAACAGATTTCGTAACAAGAAGAAACATGTGTCTTGATGTGTATAGAATGTTTCACGAAGATATATTGCAAGGTATCTGGATCATTGACGAAATACAAGGCAAATACCTAAACTACAATGTCAATTATCGATGCTAGTTTTCAAATTTGATTTACATAATGTTTGGAAAACGTTATCCTTGTAACCGTAGTGGTTTCCGAGAAGAATTGCTTCTGAATAAAACACGCAAAAGTTAAAATTACTGAAAGCATCAGTAATCAGGGGCACGCAATCTCGATGCTCTTATGACGACGTGAACAACAAGCATAGAATTATTATTACCTTTTCCTCTGTTGTTGAACGCCGCACACAGCAATATTTCAGCTATATGACAGTGGTCTGTAAACAATAAGCTTGGACAAGACAATTCAGTGATTGACATCATGAGCATAGATTTGAATACGATCATATACATCAACGAAGTCAGCGAGCCTGACCACCCGATCCCGTTAGTCGCCTCTTATGAGCAGCAAAGTCGTCTTTTAAGGCAAGCACGCGTTGCTGAAGACCTATTCTACCCCTGATCGTCACGGGTCCCATGTAGTATAAAGTTCAACGATGGAATAACATACATGTGTGTTGACACATAGATTGGAACATGCTGTGGTGAGGTTTCAACCAATCCTTTGTGATCACAACAGACTTTGGGAGCATTGCCAACAAAGCACAGGGAGTAACCATTTAAAGAAAACTACATTTTTATGGGCACGTCTTCAGGATTTGCGATCTGATACAACAGCTACAGTTGCAGTCTTTCTGTGGCAAACTTGGCCAGCTGTTTTCGGTCAACTTTGATTGAGTTAAGCACAGGGAATGTGTCAAAGAATTCAACATGCTTTGGGACAACATTCATTGCTGACGAAATGCCAAGATCAACTTCCCCTTTCAGAAAGTTTATGATGTCATCCTGTGTAAGTCTGACTCCTTGTTCCAGCTGGACACAAGCACATATCTCGTGGTGTAGAACCTTGTCAGGAATAGGAACAATGAAGTTCTGTTTAATCCCAGGACATTAAGCAAGCTTCTCCTCAAGCCATGTTGGGTAGAGGATGTATGGGCCGTGCATGATGGCGTCAGAACTTCTGCCCACTACAAATAAGCATCCTCTGGTGTCTTTATAACCCACATCCCCTGTTCGAAACCAACCATCTGGTTGGAAGGATGAATGTGTGTCTCCATAATATCCTTTCGTTATAGTCGCTGAACGAACGAGGATTTCACCATGAGCTTCGGTTTTAACTTCAGCCATATTTGAGTCAACTATTTTTACTAGCACGCCTGCAGCTGCAAATCCTGCTATATTTTCCTTGAAATCAGACACGTTCTCGTCATTAAAAATAAATCCATTGTTCAGACCCATTTCTGTAGAGCCATAGACGTTACAGACAGCATCAGTAAGTTGCCCTATGGGTTCAAGACATCCTTTCTTCAATGGTTGCCCACCAGTCAGAATTGTATGCAGTTTATGACTCTTAGATTCCCATATGTCTCTCTGTTTGAAAATACTGACAATCTGGAAAGAAGAGAGACATGCTAATTTGATATCTTCCTGACAGATCACGTTCCATGTAAACTGGTGATTATCCGTGATGACTCCAACAGAATCATCTATCAGAACCCGTTGAAAACCAGCATACAGAAAATATATTGGGTATCCCCCAACCCAACCAAGTGGAGCACTGTTGTAAATGGACTTCTCATATTTGACAAGTGCTCCAGCCATTTCCAGTAGCATCTTTCCCATCGTCAGAATGGCCTTGTGTGAATGTTGGACAAGCTTTGTGTATCCGGAACTTCCTGATGTCGTGAATATTTGAGCAACATCTGACGGATTCATCTTGTTGTTCACATACCTATTACATGAAGGCAGTGATCTGAGAAATTCACATTCTGGTTTCTTTGTTTTGCAGTATGCCACATTCTTCAGACTTGATACATTGGCGCATTTGATATCAGAGCTATACTTTCCATCAGATACGACTTTGAAAAATCTGCTGCAAATGCCCCAAGCCCCATTTTCCTGATTTGGATCAATGACAAGAGTTTTGCATTTCGCCTTTCCCATTGATTCGATTATATCTTGACCATCCGAACGCAGTATTTGGCCGTTCATAGACACAGCTCCCGCTAAATGTACACCGAAGTCTACTACGACTCTCTCTGGGCAGTTGGGAAGAGCAACACACACCACATCTCCAGGTTGAACACCAAGTTCAGTCAGTCTGAACGCAAACCTACTGGACAGATCCAGGACATCTCCCCGTGACAAGACATATCTGCCATATTTGCTCCAGAAAATGAAGGCAGGCGTGTCAGGCTCAGTCTCTCCCCAGAAGCAGATTCTATCAGGAATTGTTTGATCCCCGTATGCCTCTACAATACGTCATGATTATAACTATATTTTAAGTTAATTGGTTAAAGAGTAACTGTGCTATTAAAGTCATCTGATTTGCCTGACGACCCGTTCTGTTTTCGGCAGGCAAAAGATGGGGGACCTTTCCTAACGAGGGCCCACTCTGACTCTGACCCCCCCCCCCCCCCCCCCCCCCCTCAGTAATGTAGCGGCATTGGGTTGGATGTGGGTATAAGGTTATAAATTGCGAGTCAATTATGCGCCGCTGTATACGCATTTAAAAGTTTATTTGTTGTTTCATGGCGGTCTGAAAATAATCGAAGTGATTGACATTATGAGCATCGATGTACGCAAATGGGATGCGATGACATGCATCAACCAATTTGCAAGTTCAAGGTGCCGTCTGTAGTTACGCCTAAAACCACTAAAGAGAGATTGAATTTGTGTTTACAGCTGAGAACCGAACTGACGATCACTGGCATAGATTCCAAACAAGCTTGCTCTTGACGTGGAGTCAGTGGTGGACGAGTATCTTGACGTCGAGAACATAGACGGGCAGAACGCAAACTGGTTCTCGTGGCGACCTTGATTATATGAAGGTTTGTGGTATTAAAATACTCATCCCTTATATAACATGACGTCAGAAACATGACGAGGTTGAGGCGTCTATGCTCGTGGAAAGACAAGACAAATCTGCCATATTTGCTCCAGAAAATGAAGGCAGGCGTGTCAGGCTCAGTCTCTCCCCAGAAGCAGATTCTATCAGGAATTGTTTGATCCCCGTATGCCTCCATTGGTGACTTGTATCTGGAAAATAATGTACAATACGTCATGATTATAAACTATTATTTAAGTTAATTGGTTAAAGATTAACCGTGCTATTAAAGTCATCTGATTTGCCTGACGACCCGATCTATATTTCGGCAGGCAAAAGATGGGGGACCTTTCCTAACGATGGCCCACTCTGACGTGAAATTGTGTATGCTGTGAGTTTGAGTCATAACGTCATGGATATTGCAAACATTGGGGCTATTATCTCATTTCCTCATCATTGTACGGCGTTATTCGCCAAACCAACGTTTAATTGTGTCCTTGAAGTATATTTTTAAAACAGATTAAAATCTAACCGAGTCAATTATGCCCGGCTGTATACGCATTTAAAAGTTTATTTGTTGTTTGATGGCGGTCTGAAAATAATCGAGTCTGAAACAGACAATCCAGTGATTGACATTATGAGCATCGATGTACGCAAATGGGATGCGATGACATGCATCAACCAATTTGCAAGTTCAAGGTGCCGTCTGTAGTTACGCCTAAAACCACTAAAGAGAGATTGAATTTGTGTTTACAGCTGAGAACCGAACTGACGATCACTGGCATAGATTCCAAACAAGCTTGCTCTTGACGTGGAGTCAGTGGTGGACGAGTATCTTGACGTCGAGAACATAGACGGGCAGAACGCAAACTGGTTCTCGTGGCGACCTTGATTATATGAAGGTTTGTGGTATTAAAATACTCATCCCTTATATAACATGACGTCAGAAACATGACGAGGTTGAGGCGTCTATGCTCGTGGAAAGAGGCGACTAACAGGATCAGGTGGTCAGGCTCGCTGACTTGGTTGATGCATGTCATCGTATCCTAATTGCGTGGATCGATTATGTAAAAGACCCTGGTCATATATAGCTGGAATATTGCTGAGTGCGGCGTTGAACAACAAACAAACAAACACACATATCATGCATGTGTGTTGTTACTCGGGCCGACCGTAGATCTTTGGTACAGGGAAACACTGTGTCTCCTAATAACACCGAGTTGCCTTCAAAAGTGCTGAAACCTGAAGTTGACTGTCACTTGTTTTGAATATCCCATGGCCAACTGCTGATGCACGATTTATAAAACTCAGAAGTTTGTTTCAAGTTTTCTTGTCCTCTGCTACTGTTAATGAGGTTGGAAACAATTTGCACTTACTTCCAGTTGCATATGCACGTCATTAATTACAATGAAAAAAATATGTATCAATGGTAAATCTTTATATAACATATAAATGCTGAATGTGTGCCTGTGTATATGATAGAACAACCAACCATTCACTTATACCCGGGATTCGACCTTTCACCTACACCAACTAAGTAAAATATCCACGATTACTGTACTTACGATGCTGCTGCTCCCTGTCTTATTCCTCATTCAGCAACAGACCGAAGCCTTATAAAGGTGCCCTTGGTGATGTCTTTCTTTTGTCTGGTGACGTGTGTGTGATTACATGTAGCACACGAAATGTATGTTTTCCATGCAGCAGCACGACTCTGGAAAATATGTTTCAAATTTAAGCTGAGTAAGTGTGAGTGTGTAAAATTACAATGTACTCAAAATCACGTGGGTTGCGGTTAAGGCTATGGTGATGAGTTTGTGATCACATGTCACACACGAAATGTATGTTTTCCATGCAGCAGCACGACTCTGGAAAATATACTGAACCGCAAAAGAAACGTCACCATAGATAGATATATGAGAAACCTTATTTGTCCAAACAATTTGAGACATATTAAAAAGATGAAAGTTGGTAAATTTGATCATCAAGGTTGGAATTAAAGTGTCAAATGTGAAACACAACACTAGTCTCTGAGAAAAGGGCATCACAAGTCAGTATCTCGTGTGTCCGCCATGTGGATTGATGATTTAAATCAGGACTGAGTGCAGGCCACTGCATGGTTCTGATGCCGTTCTGCTGGAGGAAGACTCTTGTTGCTCACGCAGTGTGTGCACGAGCGTTATCATGCTGAAACACGTGGTTGCGGCGACGTGCCTTATGAGGTATGGCGTGTGGTCTCAAGACTTGGTCAATGTACCGAGCCGCTGTGACACCATTGCCTCTCCTTAGACCGATGTTCTGGAAGACCACAGGGCCGACCCTCTGTGCAAGACCAATTCCAACCTACACCATGATGCTCGGACCACCATGATGCTCTCTAAACAACACAAGTATCCGAATGACGTTCCCCACGGCGTTACCAGACTCTTTCTCTACCATCTGCTGTTGAGATACAGTAACGGCTCTCGTCTGAGAAGAGGAGTCTTCTCTACTGCTGGTGGCGCCAATGCTGGTGCTTTGTTGCCCATTGAAGACGGTCCCGGCGATGACGTGGTGTAAGAATAGGTCTTCGGTGTGGCCTGTGACAGTGGAGGCGTCTGCTCGTCAATCGTCGACGCACGGTTTCTGCACTAATTTGTCGCTGATGGGTTCCCTATGGTCTGTCGAGCAGTTTCCACAGCAGTAACAAAGCGATCTTGAAGATGCGGTTGAACAATCTGACGATCCTGACGTCGAGTGGTGACCCTTGGTCTTCCACTTCGTGGTCGGTCATCTGTAGTGTTGGTGGTCTGGTACCGTTGCTGGAGCCTGTATATGGTCCTTAAGAACTTGAAATGCATTGGCTACTTGCCGGTCGGTTTGTCCAGCTTGCAATCGTCTAAGGGCTTGGTGTCACTGATTTCTTGTCAATCTTGGCATGTGGTAGCAATTCAATAACGAATGAATGTTATCCGATCTGGCGGATTTTTAAAGGGCATAAAATGGGGGAACGCATGTTTATTTCAATTTGCACGGAACTCACGTGCATCGGGTTACCATGGCCGTTGCCGTGATGCGTTGGGCGATCGGTTTTATTGTCATCTGCTTTGTTTTTATCATCAAATTTTATTTTTCCGGACAAGGTAATATTAAATTTTAGAAACTTTGACAAAACTTACCCAGATATTTAAATGACAACTTGTCATGCAATGTTACTTGGGGTGACGTTCTCTTGCGGTTCAGTATATGTTTCAATTTTAAGCTGAGTAAGTGTGCGTGTGATGTAGTTACAATGTACTCAAAGTCAAGTGGTTTGCGGTTGAGGCAATCAGATGGATTGTGTGTGTTTGTATTATCCTAACTTTCATGTAAATGCTGGAGATATGTTTGTAGACACAGTAGAATACATTTCTGTTGATGCCCGATGTATGCTGACTAACTCGGCCCGTGAAGATCCGGGGTAGACTAGGTCTTCAGCAACCCATGGCTGCCGTGAAAGGTGACTATCGGGATCAGGTGTTAAGGCTCGCTGACTTGGTTGAAGCATGTCATCGATCCCAATTGCGTGGATCGATGCTCATGATATCAATAACTGGATTGTCTGGTCCAGACTCGATTATTTAACAGACCGCCTTCATGTAGCTGGAATATTGCTGAGTGTGGCGTTAAACAACAAACCATCCAACCAACTGACTAACTCGTGTGAGTCAACGTTGTTGTGTCAGTCCAACAGAAATCAATCCACATATTTTCAAATCTTGGTATATTTTGGTTGTAAATTATATTTGAAATCAGTGATCCAAATAGGACAAGTCTTGCAATTATTTGTGTCCCATGCAGAATTACACCATGAAGGTGGGTTTAAATAAAAGATGACCTGCAACTTTATTGAACACATTTTAATGATGTCTGGTAAATGTAAAACTTCAACCCCAGAGAAAAAAGAATCTTGAAATGTTTTTGAAATAGAAGTCGCCTTCATGTTGCAACACTATTTCCTTTGTTCACCAGGCCTCTCGGTAACATCAGGATTAAACATCAACTCCTGTTTCACATGTTGGCAGATGATAACCAGCTCCACAAGCTCTTCAAGCTCTTTAGGCCACGTCCCATCCATCTCCTGTGTGTCACTGCAACCATCATCCCAACATCAAACTGTTGTGAAGACATCAACTGGACGACAAGTAACAACATGAAAGTTAATGTGGAGACAATGAGAATATCCTCATCAGCCTATCTCTGTCGATGATGCCACCATTCCCCTCATCATTGTCGCTGACCTCAACCTGGAGAAGCAGATTACCCACCTGTCTGAAGTCTCCAGCCCACAGCTGAGGAACATCCGCGAATTGCGGTGCCTTTGACGACTGACCTACCAGTACCCCCTATTTAAGGATGTTCCAAGTCGGGAAGTCCTACATTAACATCTCAAAGAGAATATGTCTCTTTTAGTGCAGCACATGACAGCAGCTTGTGATTAGAATGGGAACTCTTTGTCAGAACCATTACAAATACTAATACGAACGAGTCAGTAAAATGTTTAACATAGACAATGGGCGGTCGGGGTAATATGTTTATAGGTGCAATTACCCTCAAAGATATACAGGCTAGACACCATGCAGATACAGGATAAGGCTAGACCCTGTAAATTGTAATGTTGCATTCATTAGCTAGGCTTTAGGCAACGCACCAGCACACGCACACACACGTGGGACCGTACACAAATGTGCATGCACATTGCTTCATAATGCAATAATCTTTAACGCTACGTTAAGTCCTCTTTCACCTCACCCATTGATGAAATTTATAACATTGTAATTTAATAAATATTAGCGGACTACCAGGGAATAACATACGTTTGATGTGATTACGGGGGTGAAAGAAAGAAAATCATATTGAAGCAAATAGCTATAAAATTCAATTATTCACCATTCTTAATTTCACATGTTCCGAAGTATATGCTATTTCTATGAAGATTTCAAAGAGGGTCGTATGTATCTTGCTCAAAAGTTGTTTAATCAGGGTTACAACCGTCAAGGCCTCAGCAAAGCAAAGTTTGCATGTGTTTGTGACATGTACCACCGGTTGAACAGGATACGCTCACCTTTTCGCGAACACCTGGTGTCACTACTATTTGATAGTGGTTCATAGACACATGCTCACAACGTAGTCAGAATTGTACAATGGACTCTGATTTTAGAATATATTATGGAAAGATTGTTGTCGCTTATATTTTCACGTATCTTAAACAAAAATGTCCCTTTTTACCCCTTGTGGTTCTTAAGATTTGTATCCATTTAAATATATGTTCTGAGGTCTTTTGATTTCAGAGAAGATATACAATGTATCACGTTCCATAAATGGCTCAATATCTAGATATAAGTCAATAAATCGTGTTTGGCGTCTGCATCAATCACAGTGGACGGAGTTTATTTACGGTTGCGCTATAAATAGCAAAGCACATGGTCATCATGGTCATGTGTACATGTGACACATTCAATGCATTTGTGGTCAAAGTGTATTGTGTTGTATAATTTTACGTCAGAACTTGTCCCTTTTTGTTCGGGGGATTTGGATATACATTGCGCACGAGGTTTAAAATACAATCTGGGATCCCTTTCCTGTTCCCACACCAATCCTTCATCTGCTGCAACGTTTCATATCCGTTTGTTCAAGTCTACGATCTCTCCAAACACTCTGTTAATTTAGCTCAGTCCAGACGTTTTGGCAACGCTGTTTTCGAATCGACGAATTTCTGCAACATGTTGGCCAAACCATTCCCTAACTGCGACTGTCCGTGCTGTGTGACAAGCATGGTTGACAAAAGAAGTGTGAACATACATACTCGGCTTCAGCTGGTTCCACAATGAAATATCGCTGTAGCATATGGACCTCTCAGATCACTTGTATAAGCTCCGCCCATTTTCCCTTATACGTAAAATATTTACTGCGCATTCGCCCCGATTAGGCTGATCGGATGTTGGGGCTTTAAGTTTAATGGTTCGATGAAGAAGTCGAAAGATTACAGATATAATACGGACGGACATTATAATATGGACAAGAAGCCATGCCACTTTGATCTATTATATGCTCCTGATGAACGAATCCTCATTCATGTGAAGACCTTTGACCACTTTCATCATGATTTCTTAAACATGTTCTTCGTTTCTAAGACCATATATAACTAGTTGTCCAAACGGTGACCTTTCACCAATATCGCAGATTACCAGACTTACAGTGCTATTACATACTACTTGTTCTATTACGCAAACAAACAAAAAAGGGTTAGCCAGTCGAGCATGGACCAGACAATCCAGTGATTGATATCATGAGCATCGATCCACGCAATTGGGATCGATGACAGTCATCAACCAAGTCAGCGAGCCTGACTACCCGATCCTGTTAGTCGCCCTTTATGGCAAGCATGGGTTGCTGAAGACCTATATATTCTACCCCGGATCGGTGTCAGATATTATTAGAAAGATAATATGTGCACTATACTGAATGTTCTATTTACCACAATTGTCAGCTTTCAGTAAAGTGGATAATGCACAAAATAGTCAGAAAACGATACATTTATGGTAACGAACTGAAACACTGGATATACATGTACAACTGTATAATTAGTTATTTTTGTGAACAATTTTTCCCATTATCCGGAAGGATGCAACATGTGAGATAGAACGGGGTACGTCGGGTATACAGATTTGTTTTGGACATGTTTCCTTTTTAGGAATTGACATGGGCATATCATTTCCATTTGGCATTTTTCCGTCAGTTTTGTCACAGGGTGAAATGTAAATTAAAACCTCAAAGCCCGAGAATAATAGTACGTTTTCAAGCATATAGTTACATTTTCTATTGTGCCAACAGTCATATCATGCTGTTGTACATCTTCAAATGGTTTTGTCACATTCACGTATACTGTGACCTTTCACCTGCACCAGCTAAGTAAAATATCCACGATAACTATCTATATTCACGATTCCACTTTTTCTACTCTATTCTTAATCCTCCTGCAGCTACAAATCAAAGCCTCATAAAAGTGTACTGCCGTGAAGCCCTTCGTTTTGTAGCAGTGCAATGTGATTGTGATTCAAAGTCACACACGATATGTATGTTTTCGATGCAGAGGCTCGCCTCTGGAAGATGACGTTTCAAAATTAAGATGATTAAGTGGGAATGTGGGATTTATTTACAATGTACTCATGGTGAAGTCGACTGCATTTAAGGATATTAGATGGATGGTATACTTTCTCTAATGTCCTTACTTTCATACAAAGGTTGAAGTGATTTTCAGAACTGCATTGCTGTCAGACACAATTGGATGCATTTCGATTGATACCAAATGTATGCTGCCTCTCGTAACGATAATTTCTGTTGCGCCTCTCCAACATAATTTAATCCACAAAGAGTACATTCAATGCATGGATGATGTTTTTGTTTGACATGAGATACCTTTAAAAGTTTGATTTGGCAGTTTGATTTGGCTGTGAAGTTGGATTTGGATTAGGGGATCAATACTCAAGATAGCACAGATTTTGCTATTGTTTGTGTCACATGAATAAGTAACGCATGGAGATCGGTTCGAAAGAAAAATGTCCGCCAACATTTTAATGATGTCGGTAGACGAATAGAACAATACCTTCATGATGCACATAGATTTCATGATATCTCGAATTGACCACCAGAGGACTGCAATCTAAACCATATATTTCAGCAGAATATGTGCTCGAATTGGCAAAGTCAAAACAAGTTAATTTGGCGAAGAGGTTTAACTTAAGTTTCAGGTATATCAATGATCTGATATCGTTAATAGTCATGAAATAGCCACGAAATAGCCATTCCCTTTCACTAACTTACCTAGCTGAACTAGAAATACATGATACCAGTGAGACCGCCTCATGTTTCGTATTTAGATCTATCCACGAAGAGAGAAAAAAACACAAGATATGATGAGAGGGATGACTTAAATGACTTTACAATGAATTGATCACTTCTTGAAAGTACGCCATAAGGTTGACGTGCATATGGATATTTACAGATTAGATAAATTAGGATAGATTAACTGCCACACGAATATTGTACAAGAACCTTTCATGGTATACATATCGACAGTTCACACTAATGATGAGATAAATAGATGTATGAGTACATAGATCATATAAAAAGCAAACACTTTGAAATAGTAAAGTTATTTATTTTGAATTCTCCTATCGATGCCTTGTTAATAGAAATACACCTTAAGGTTTACCTATTTCATTCCAATGTTTATTGTTTCAATGCAGGGAAATTGTGAAGGAATCATTATTCCATTAAACCCGAGTTTAATCATTCATATACACAATAAATATTCTTAAAATATAATGTACAAACGAAGTTGAAGGAAAATACCACATGTATATGTATCCGATTATAGAGAAGAGTGAGTGAGTGAGTATGGTTTTACGCTGCTTTTAGCAATATTCCAGCAATATCATGGCGGGGGACACCAGAAATGGGCTTCACACATTGTACCCATGTCGGGAATCGAATACGGGTCTTCGGCGTGACGAGCCAACACTTTAACCAGTAGGCTACCCGACCGCCCCTATAGAGAAGAATGAAACCAATATTTGTAAATCATTCAATACTTTTAATGATTAACTATTTGCTTCAATGATTTTAACAATTTCAACAAATAACAAACAAAAGAGTATGTAATAGGAAAATAAACACTGATTTGATGTGTACACATTGTTTCACCAATAAATATTGATCATTGTCTCGATGTCACCATTTTATATAACCTCGTATATATTGTGTGTGTATATATATATATATATATATATATCAATGAACTGCAAGGAAAGAAGCTACCACATGTATATGATTATAAAGAAGTATGAAGACAAAATGTTTTGAGTTAATCATTCCATCTTTTTAATAATCGACAATTTCCATCAATAATTGTAACAATTGCAAAAGTATTAGTTACACTGGTATACATCTGGGTGTAATCTGGATATAAAGTAACAAATAAAAGAAAACAGATTCTGGAATAGGAAAACTGCACTGGTTTGATGTGCATACAATGTTTCACGAAGAAATGTTAAACAGTTCCTGGCTTGGAAATGGAATAAAATATGAATATAAAAGGCAACTACAAACCAAGTGAAATGTTCATTTTCGAGTCTTCTTTCCAAGTTTGACCACCACAATTGTTCTAAATTATGTGAGCAAAAGTTATCTTTATATCCACAGCGGTTTCCGAGAAAGTCTTGTTCCCTCTCCGGGTCCTGTAACGTATACTTCACTTCTTGATTTTCAAATGGCATTGGCAGAAAAGGAAAAGGAAGCAAACATCCAGAAAAAAACCACAAAAGTATACCTACGTTCCACGACACTCATTGCAAAGTCATTGCATGGGGTTCGTAGGATATTCTGGGGTATGTGTGCTGATGTCTACATTGGAAGATACTGCAGTATGGTTTCAACGAACCATCATTTTAGTAACCCGGGGAGTATTGCCAACTAAGCTCAGGGAGTAACCATTCAAAAAAAAAAGATTTTTGTGGACATGTGTTCACGATCTGATACAACAGCTACAGTTGAAGTCTTTCTGTGGCAAACTTGGCCAGCTGTTTTCGGTTAACTTTAAATGAATTAAGCACAGGGAATGTGTCAAAGAATTCAACATGCTTTGGGACAACATTCATTGCCGACGAAATGCCAAGACCAACTTCCCCCTTCACAAAGTTTATGATGTCATCCTTAGTAAGCTGGGCTCCTTGTTCCAGCTGGACACAAGCACATATCTCGTGGTGTAGAACCTTGTCAGGAATAGGAACAATGAAGGTCTGTTTAATCCCAGGACATTTAGCAAGCTTTTCCTCAAGCCATGTTGGGTAGAGAATGTATGGGCCGTGCATGATGGCGTCGGAACTTCTGCCTTCTACAAATAAGCATCCTCTGGCGTCTTCATAACCAACATCCCCTGTTCGAAACCAACCATCTGGTAGGAAGGATGAATGTGTGTCTCCATAATATCCTTTGGTTGTATTTTCTGAACGTACGATGATCTCTCCATGAGCTTCCGTTTTAACTTCAGCCATATTTGAATCAACAATTTTCACATCCACGCCTGCAGCTGCAAATCCTGCTATATTTTCCTTGAAATCAGACACGTTCTCGTCATTAAAAATAAATCCATTGATCAGACCCATTTCTGTAGAGCCATAGATGTTACAGACAGCATCAGTAAGTTGCCCTATGGGTTCAAGACATCCTTTCTTCAATGGTTGCCCACCAGTCAGAATTGTATGCAGTTTATGACTCTTAGATTCCCACATGTCTCTCTGTTTGAAAATACTGACAATCTGGAAAGAAGAGAGATGTGCTAATTTGATATCTTCCTGACAGATCACGTTCCATGTAAACTGGTGATTATCCGTGATGACTCCAACAGAATCATCTATCAGAACCCGTTGCAAACCTGCATACAGAAAATATATTGGGTATCCCCCAACCCAACCAAGTGGAGCACTAGTGTAAATCGACTTCTCATATCTGCCTTTTGCTCCAGCCATTTCCAGTAGCATCTTTCCCATCGTCAGAATGGCCTTGTGTGAATGTTGGACCAGCTTTGTGTAACCCGAACTTCCTGATGTCGTGAATATTTGAGCAACGTCTGACGGATTCATCTTGTTGTTCACATACCTATTACATGAAGGCAGTGATCTGAGAAATTCACATTCTGGTTTCTTTGTTTTGCAGTATGCCACATTCTTCAGACTTGGCACATTGGCACATTTGATATCAGAGCTGTACTTTCCATCAGACACGACTTTGAAAATCCTGCTGCAAATGCCCCAAGCCCCATTTTCCTGATTTGGATCAATGACAAGAGTTTTGCATTTAGCTTTTCGCATTGATTCGATTATATCTTGACCATCCGAACGCAGAATTTGGCCGTTCATAGACACACCTCCCGCTAAATGTACACCGAAGTCTACTACGACTCTCTCTGGGCAGTTGGGAAGAGCAATACACACCACATCTCCAGGTTGAACACCATGTTCAGTCAGTCTGAACGCAAACCTACTGGACAGATCCAGGACATCTCCCCGTGACAAGACATATCTGCCATATTTGCTCCAGAAAATGAAGGCAGGCATGTCAGGCTCAGTCTCTCCCCAGAAGCAGATTCTATCAGGAATTGTTTGATCCACGTATGCTTGCATCACTGAGTTGTATCTGGAAAATAAAGTACAATATGCCATGATCATGAACTAGTATTTAAGTTAATTGGTTAAAGATTAACCGTGCTATTAAAGTCATCTGATTTGCCTGACGACCCGATCTATATTTCGGCAGGCAAAAGATGGGGGACCTTTCCTAACGATGGCCCACTCTTAGTTTTGGTTTGAATGTGTGATGTATTACGCCACAATAATCAATGTTCAACCTATATGTGGTTTGCCAGACAAGTGAGTGATTTTCCTTATGATCGATGTCCCACGTCAGAGGAGTAAGCTAACATGCAATCAACCAACCCTGACGAGTCTGACGATCTGATCTAATTTACCCCGGACAATAGCTGTAGTCCAGGCATGAAATGTGAAATGTTGTGTGTTTAAGTCATAACGTAGCGACGAAAAGTGGGTTCGAATATACACCAATATGTGATCCGGCTATATATTGTCACTGAGAACATTGTGTGAAAGATCGTTGTACATGAAATGCGTAAGAACACAATATTTCCAATGGCACGTGACCGCCTCCGTGGTCTAGTGGGAGAGCGTCCGCCCGGAGAGCGGAAGGTCCGGGGTTCGATCCCCAACCGCGTCATACCAAAAGACGTTAAAAGATGGTACTTGTTGTTACCCTGTCTGGCGCTCAGCATTAAGGGGCTGAAGCAAGGACTGGTCGGCTCGGAGTCAGTATACTGTGTCTGAGTGGGGTATTCATGTTAAACTGCGGCATAGTATCTCAGTGGGCTAGCACTATCACAGCAAAAAAAGTGTAGGTTTCCGTCTTCTGGAAACCTTCCGGAAACCTTCCGGATACCTACCCATTTTGGATCCGGCCCGGATACCTTCCGGAAACCTTCCCAAAAAAATGTCAAAATTTGGGGGGTGCATTTCTTTCACTTAAAGGGGAAGTTCACACGGAAATAAACCTTTTTTTCTTGTACTTTTTCCACATTAAAAGTGTTAACATAGAAGTGTCATAGACAAAAATATAAAAACATCATATTTAATTAACATCTTTTTTGCATTAAAACGATTTATATTTTTCACATTTTCCAAGTGTTCTATTTCCATAACAAAAACACCATGGCTTATGCCCCTTGCAATATGACGTCATTGGTGCCAATTGATAAACATTATGACGTCATCATGCTTTGTTAGAGCCGCTTCACGTGGTGTAGGTACAGTTTTGTGATTCTAGCGTCTCAGATGCCAGCCAGAATTGTGTTATGCTGAGTCACTACTGCGCCGGAGTGTGTCGTAGACCATGTTGTTTTACCGCAAACTGGTCCTTGATATCTTTTGCGTTGAGAATAGACAGGGACCCAGTTGAATTGGCACCAATTACGTCATAATCTAAGGGGGATAACTCAGGCCTATTTCGCTCGTAAAACGAAGGCCTCATAACGGCATATCATTTTAACACTATTGTGAGCTTCCTACTTTCACTGTGAAAAGAAATTAGTGTATATTTTCAAACACAGATACTAATTAATTCTAAAATTGCGTTTTGTTTAGAAAAAGAAAGAAAGTGATTTTTGCGTGTACACTTCCCCTTTAAGTGTGAAACACATAAAAAAATTAACTTGAAAATACCAAGCAATTTGAAGGTTGCTGAAGGCATCTGGAAGGTTTCCGGTTGCAAATTTTCTTCATGACTTGCTTCTGGTAAAAAATGTTAGCCTGTGCATTACAGGTAGCTGTTGTAATATTCTGGGTTACTTTAATGGTAAATATCTCCTAAAACATTTTTGGAGAAGACAATTGTTCAATTTCATATATTGTCCTTTTCAGATGTTAATGGTATTTAATGAACAAACATCAGTTCTCGTATAATGATATCCTTAAATTTCATGTCCAGACTTCCAGTTTGTACTGAGAAAAAGAAAAAGTCATTGACAATGTGCTCACTTGGGCCTTTGGTCCTAGTGAGATGATAATAAGACTATTTGTAACGGTACATGTACTTGTTATATCCAAAATACTAACTTCATTGAAATTTGCGTCACCCTAGTTTTATGGTACTACAGTAAGCTCTTCCTCAGTTACTGTGAATTCTTTTATTAAAAGGGATTGAGAGTTAATTTGACACTGGAGTTGTAACCACTGCACATATATGTGTATTCAAATAATATAACAACTATGTGCTTAATACTTCACAAATATCTCCAGAAATAGGCATTTTAGTTATAATTGCAGAAATACTTTATGAATGACCCCTTCACTATTGCCTTGATCTTACACTTCAACCCTTCAAGAGTTATCACTTTTGAGTGTGAATTTGACCTTCAATATCAGTGATAAATATTTCAAAAACATTTCAAAGAGCTATCCAGCACATAAACCAAATATGCAGTCCTTTGGTAGAATTCAACATATCATTGACCAAAATATGGAAGTAATGTAACCAGTATATGTATAAGAGTTACTAAGACTTCTGCAGAAAAGGCAATTTAGGGGAAAATGTAGTATATATAGATCACATACGACCTTTTTCCAACTTCGACCCCTGTCCAGAGGAAGAGTTAGACCACAAACAAACTTTTTGTCTGGTTGTGACTTTGACCTTTGACATAACAGATCAATGTGTCATCAGACGTTTTCAGAGCAAAGGAAACATGTGTTATTTATCTTGAGATGCCCAAGCAATGCATGGTTTCATAAGATAAGTGTGGCTATATAACTGAGGCAAAATCATGAAACATCCCCATTTACACAGCTGGCAAATGAAACATAAGCAACAATCAAATTATCAATTTCTTTTATTCATATGCCTATAGTATATCGCACATTGAACAGTGTTCACATGATGGTTCCTGATGCAGTATGCAATTTCATCCTATTCTTCAATACTCATAACAGAGTGTGATAACTGTTCGCTTGACAGTACCTACGGATTATGTTCACCAGTTCAGAGAACTTACTTTCCCTCAATCCTCCTTTTCTTTCTATATTGCCATGGATGAACAGGAACCAGGATGAGGGGATACCAGTTAGACTCTATCTCTGCTGCATTGTGTTAGTAGAATTGTGAACTTTCCATTTGGTGTTTGGGTCCACATTTAAAGACAATAAGTCCCATTTATCATTCCTTTCAAGTGTTTACCATATGGCTCAAGACAAGAATTTCCTGAATGTCCTGGAAGAATTCCACTCCAGCTTGGCATTGGTTGGTCTTCTCACATTAGCCAGACCAGCCTTTGTGTGTCCAAGTACCATTTGGCATACAACTTCTCGGTCGGCCTCCATTGAAATAACAGGACCCTCGTCATCGATGTCTGCAAATCACCTCTGATATCTGAAGGGGTGCAGCCTCTGTTTAGGACTCCCTTGTCTCGTCCTTCCAGACTGTCAACTTGGAGTACTCATCCAGGGATCTCAAGAAGGACTTCAGTTTCTGCAGCATTATGTAAAAAGATTTTAGCAATCAAAAAGAATTGTTGCCACATGCACTTACAGATAGAAGGCAGCAAATTCACTTAAGTTGTCATATGTGAGTCTTGTTATATGCTAAACAATTAAGATAATCACATCTCAAATCTCAACCAGACAAACCAGTGACTAATGTTATGAACTCGGTCCAGACAAACCGATGATAACTATTATGGACAATATCCCACATCACTGTGGTATGATTACATGCGATCAATGAGCCTACTCAATCACTACCTTATCTATTAATTAGGCTTGGAATGCTGGGAATCTTTTTAAGAGATGTCATTTAGTGATTGTTTCAACTCATCAACATGGAAAAATATATATTTACAATCCTTGTCATATAGCCAAACTATTGCTGGATGCAGTGTTAAATAAATGAGTTGGCTTTAACACTGCTTTGAACAGTATTCCAGATATATCACCGCATGTTAGCTTGATGTGGGAAGAAAGCCCTAAATGATGCAGGTCTTTGAGGAATCCCACGAGCATGTGTATAATGCTGACAAACCTAGCAACATAATCGGGGAGAACCAGGATTTGAACCCATGACTATAGGTTTCTGCTAAGCCCAAGAGATGCAACTCTGCACAGAAAATTGTAGTGCCTTAGATAATAGGACATCCGTGCCCACAGCGATAAGGAACAAACTGAAGACATATTTGCAAAATAACCATATGAACCAAACAGAATAATTTCAAAATATTTACCACTCACTGTTGCTCTTCTATGGTCTTTCTTTGCATTGATGCTGCACAGATGACTGTCTCTTTTATTCATCCGGACATTCTACAAACATAAGTAGCATTCACATCACAGAAAAATGTCCAAACTGTACATGTTGTACATTTGATTCAAATGAAAAGACCCTGGTTGTGATTCCGACTTAGAACTACCCTAATCATAATAATTCATGTCAAACATTCAGAGATGACATTTATCACCATATTTAACAAATGTCAAAACAATATTTTGACAACAAAGTCAGGGTCATTCAACACATACATTACATAGGAAATAACTTGTTCGAGGTGAATATCATTCCATGAATTATTGCCAAATTTTCTTGAAATGCAGATTAATGCAATGCAGTATTTACTTTTATTTCTAGGCTATTTGTTTGGCTTTTCCATGGCACTGTTTTGACAGAGATCTAACCTTGATATGACACTTTGTTCAGAAATGATATAAATAAGAGAATACTTTATTATTCCCGAGAAAATTTGGGTTACATTGTAAAAGCACGGAGAAACAAGCATAAGATTCATGATTCAAGTTAAATACACTCGACCCGTGAAGATTCTGGGGTAGAATAGGTCTTCAGCAACCCATGCTTGCCGTAAAAGGCCATTATGCTTGTCGTAAAAGGCGACTAACGGGATCGGGTGGTCAGACTCGCTGACTTGGTTGATGCATGTCATTGATCTCAATTCCAAGGCTCGATGCTCATGATATCAATCACTGGGTTGTCTGGTCCAGACTCGATTATTTACAGACCGCCGTCATATAGCTGAGTGCTGCGTTAAACAACAAACCAACCTAAATACACTCATACATACACACACAAACACAACATCCAAACACGAGGGTTAGAAATTGGCACTAGTCATTTTGACATTTGAAAGGTTTTGCTTATATGCTATCATTTTAGGACTAGTGGACTGAAAGTGTTAGTTCCTACCGTTGCAAACACTAATCAACTAATGAATTGGGTGGTCAGACTAGGTTGTCATCATACTCTGAGGGCATGGATCTTTGCTGATAATAACAATCACTAGATTGCCTGGTCCATGTTCAATTATTTACAGGCTGCCATCACAGAGCTGGACTATTGTGAGTGTGATGTTTCACATTGCATTGAAATATACCATGATGAATACATGTAGTTTGTATTTATCACAAACAAAAATACTCACTCAATACTTGGTATCCTCCCTGAGGATGTCTGTGAACCTCCCCACAAACCCTGAACATGCTGAAACAGAAAACAACTAACTTGTCTTTATCCTTTCAATGTTTCAGTGTGAATTTGTTAAAGATTGATAAGCTGTCATTATTCATTGTGATCCATATCTCACTTTCAGGCGGTTCAGGTGGCAACACATGATTGGAATTGAATGCCACATTTTGTTTGACATGCACTTTGCCAGATTTATACCCTTGGTAACTAACCCTCATCATCAAATCCCAGCGTTATGTTGAGAATAAGGACACGACCCTTAAAAGTCCTGCACCTGTAGCTCTTATGCAAGCCCAAATAGAAATACCATGTCACAACAAACACTTGATCATAATAATAACAAAGGGTTTCCGAAAACAACAAAACTAAAAGGCCCTTGACGTTTACAGTAGTAACATGGAGATCAGGAAAGTATTTAAATCAATCCATTCCATAAGATCTCTGTATAGAAATCATGGAACATTATGTCTCGAAGCCCTGCTACGTACATGGCATCTGCAAGCTGCTCTTCCTTCCTTCGGCTGCCAATCGAGTTTTCGAAATACTTCACGTCCTCGTTGTGGATGGCTCAGGTGGATTTCGACCGGGATTTCCGTGTTAGAGGTGATTGAGAACAATGTATTGATACACAGGGATGTGAGCAGGTTTTGCCGAAAAAAGAGGAAAAGTCTAGGGGGGTCTGGGGGTATGCCCCCCCAGAAATTTTTAAAACATTTGATTGCATTTTAAGCAATTCCATGCAGTTTGGACAACATTCACACCAAGAAATGTAATAAGTCAATGCAAAAGTCAATAAGTAAAATAAACAAGATGGCAGATGCAGTAAAATTTCGAAGTTAAATCAGTACTTTAAAAAAATCGGGCATAGCTTTCGCGCACCTGGCTACCCGCCAGGTCTGGGAGCAATACTGCCATAAACTTCAACCCCCATCCCCCAGACACAAGGACAACTGTCACAAGTGTGCAATATCTGACCCTTTCCCCATGTTGAAGCATATTGAAAAAAACTTACCTTGTACTTACCTTTTGATGAAAAAAAACAAAACTCCATTGCAAACATAAGACATAAATACAATATATATCCCCATGACATGGGGTTTTGGACGCTGAAGAAACATTCATAAATTTCTCGCTTATCACATGAACAACTGTAAAACATCTCATTCACTTACAGGCTAAAAGACAACTTTATCTTAAAAACAAGCCATCAGCTGACTCTGAGTATTTACAATTTCTGCGTGACGCCATGCCCCACGTTATAGTGCAAGTATTCGTGACGGAAAACGTATGATGTCCGAAAACCTATGCTGTGAAAGCTCCGATCGAAAACAGGACAATCCCCGCCAATTTTTCGGAGTGTTTTTTTTTTAATTTTTAATATTTTTTTCCACGGAAGATGATTTTTTCCGAGGACTACTATTTTAAAAAACGCGATTTTCCGCGTTTCCGCGGAGATTTCACATCCGTGTATAATCATACACGAGGTAAGCATATCGCAATCAAGCATCACGGTGTACATCGATTACACGAGGTTAAGCGTTTGTTTACATTTGTGTTCCAAAATGGCGCTCTCGGTCATACAGGGAATTATGGGTAGACTTGCTTGTCCCGGAATAACACGAGTTGGTCACGAATGACGAGCGGTCATTTCTGAAGCAGTTACGGAAAGAGACGAGGTTGGCCGATTACAGTTCATGCAGGCCATATTGGGAGCCGCGGGGATTTCGACAGTGTGTATTGGGAAGTATATCTATGTGGTGTATGGAATATGCGTTTCCCACAAAAATTCCCAAGTTAGCCAACGCCCTTACAGTCAACGAAAAGGCCAACATTCTAGCTGAGCACTTCTCATCTGTCAGCAGCAACACAAATTGCAGCGAAGAATTCAAACAGGCAAAAATGCTTATGCCTAAGATCTCAAAACGGCCGCAAAGCAAGCATCTGGTATACAATATACCATTTACTGTGACAGAGTTTGATGATGCGATACAACATAGAAAAGGCACAGCACCTGGTCTTGACACAACCAGCAACGAGATATTGAAAAACCTACCTGATCAAACCAAAGGCTTACTCACTGAGTTGTATAACACGATATGGTCAAAAGGAGAAGTCCCAAAAGCATGGAAACATGCTGCGGTTATCCCACTGCTAAAGCAAGGGAAAGACGAAGCCCTACCAAACTCTTATCGACCGATCTCACTCACCTCAAACATGTGCAAAGCCATGGAAGCCATGGTTACAAAAAGGCTCATGCATCATCTTGAAACTGGCAACCACATAAAACCTGACCAAAGTGGCTTCAGGAAGGGACACTCGTGTCTAGATCATATTCTAAGACTGGAAAATGAAATAAAAAAAGCCCAATTAAACAGACAATACCTAGCCGCAGTATTTCTGGACTTCAGCAAAGCCTTCGACATGGTATGGCATGACGGACTCCTCTCAAAACTATCACAAAATGGAGTTGAAGGGAACATGGCAAACTTCATAGACAGCTTCCTGCAAGACAGGTCGCTTTCAGTTAAAATAGGGAACAATCGATCGGATCCTATGGCACTGGACAATGGCACGCCACAAGGCAGCATTATAAGCCCAACCCTGTTTAATATCATGATCAATGATCTTTTTGACCATGTCAACTCTCCTACCCAAACTTCTAAGTTCGCTGATGACGGAGCAATATGGGTAAAGCACAGAGATATCTCACAAATCAGAAAAAAACTCCAGTCAGCCCTGGACGGAGTAGATCAATGGTGCAATAAATGGGGATTCACCCTTTCAAGTGAAAAAACTGTTGGAGTTCTATTCAAACGCCGGGGGAAAGATGCTATGATACCCCGTGTCTCCATAAAAGGCAAACCTATCAAATTCGAAAAATCTGCAATATTTCTTGGAGTTATCCTTGATCAACACCTCACTTGGCGCAAGCATATAGAATATGTGGAAAACAGATGTCAAAAAGACCTGAACGTATTACGGGCAATTTCAGGCACATCTTGGGGCACATCGAGGGACACTCAGCTGGACCTCTACAAAGCTCTTATCAGATCAAAAATTGACTATGGTTGTGAGGCTTTTCACTCAGCATCAAATACTGTCTTGAGGCGACTAGACAGAATACAATACAAAGCCCTAATACTGGCCACAGGCGCAGCGACAGGCACCTCACTAGAAGCACTACAAGTAGAAACGGGAGACCTCCCATTGAAACTAAGACGAGAGCAGGCAATATTATCGTTCTGGGGACGAACATCAAACCCTTTGGTTAAAAAGATATGGCAAGACAAAAACGCTCGAGATGAGGCCCTAGCTCGAAAAAATCCCTCACTAAAGCCATCTGGGATATTAGTACGTGAACTCATTCGAAGTCACAATTGCGATGACATTCAGCCTCCAGAAAGTCACTACAAAGGGTTACACCCTCCCTGGACTTTACAAACTCCCAAAGTTGACACTGCTTTAACATCAGAAGTCACTAAAAGAGAAAACCCAACCCTACTACGATCAGTAGCTATCACTAAAATTCAAACTACCTGGGACAGCTGGGCCCATATATACACTGATGGATCCAAGAATCCTATCAACAACAGTGCTGGTTACGGGATCCATATCCACAGCTCCAAACCCCAAGCACATTCAGTTCGCTTGCCCGATGGTCAGTCAGTATTCACGGCTGAATTGGAGGCAATTCATCATGCACTCAAACTCATACCGGAACTCCCGGAAGCAAAGGCAGTCATCCTATCAGACTCGCTAAGTGCACTTCAGGCCATCAGTGGAAGAAACTCAAACTCCAGGCCAAACACAGTCAACAATATTCTATACGAATATACAAAACTATCGGACCAAGGGCAACAGGTGGAGCTGTGTTGGATCCCCTCTCACATAGATATTCATGGAAATGAAAAAGCAGACTCACTGGCGAAGCTAGCTCTAGACAAAGCGGATATACAGCCTATTCCCTTTAGTAAACTAGAGATAAAAAGCAAAATCAAAGCCTCCATAGCAAAAAGATGGCAAACCCAATGGGACGCAAGTAAGATCGGCAGATGGCTATACAAAATTCAACCCAAGGTCCAGCAAAAGCCAAACTCATACTCAAATGAAAGGAAAATTGAAACTGCTATCTCACGCCTCAGACTTGGTCACAAAAAGCACTATGACAAGGTTTGTTCATCTTGCAATCAGGCTGAAACCATTGACCACCTGTTACTAGAATGTCAAGACCATGCCCCAGCCCGGGCTAGGTTAAAACAAGAATTGCAGTTAGATCCGCTATCTGTCATAGATCTCCAAAAGCCAAGAGATGCAATAGCGAAGGCCAAACTAACTCTATTTCTGAGAGATGGACAGCTGCTCGAACGTATATGAACAGAGCAGCCAAGGATAAAAATGATATCATATCAATATAAGAAAATAGAAATCATATCAATGCAAAAACAGAAATTATGTGAACACCGAACTCACAATAGATATGTGAACCCTTCTCACACACAGGAGTCCCAAAGAGGGACAGGTCAGCCGAAATTGCCTAGGCAGAAGGCGACCTCTTAAACACCTAATGCAACAACAACAACATATGCGTTTGCCTACCATGCCAGGCAGTGTGACAAGGGATATCCCAGCGGATGTAATATTCATACAGCAGAAATGTTTCACAACCTCGATTGCAGGGAGCTGAAGACGTGACATATTCAGACAGAGACCATAATACATAGACTTATATGGTCTCTGATTCAGGTAAGGAATATGTTAATAGTATTGATCACGTATTAAAGTTATTTATCTTCTGTAAGCCACTGCTTCTGTTTTATATATGTTAGTAAATGTGTGATTTAATTTTTGTAGGATAAGCAATCTACCTAACTTATGTTAATCCTTGCTAATGTATATGATGTAGAAATATGTTTGCTTACTTATATTCCTTTATCTAGATACTCTAAAGTGTCTCATTTTTTTAGTTCATACCGTACCGACTAAACTTACTTTTGCAGGTGTGAAGAATCAAGAACAAATTAAATGACAGGAGTTTTGCAACAGTGAACATTGTGAAGTGGAAGATAAGACATTTGAAAGGTATGGATATTTTCACTTGAACTTGTTGAAGAATACCGTGATGACAACTTTATCATGTTGGGAATTTTGGCGGTGGGGTAGCCTAGTGGTTGAAGTGCTGAAGACCATGGTTCGATTCTTGTCATGGGTACAATGTGTGAAGTCTATGTCAGGTGTCCCTTGCTGTGGTATTGCTAAAAACAGCGTAAAACCATACCCACTCATGTGGGGATTCCGGGTTGGAATTGGTCCCCATCAACCTATGCTAGTTGTAAGAGAGGGTTATACTATAAAGGGAAATAGCACCTTGCCTACTATTGCCTGGTGAAAACAGCACCTTGTTATTTTTTTTACCTTGAGTCTGAATATGCCCGAATACATGAAATTAAACTTGCATGGTCACTTGTAAACACAAATAACTGAGAAATGTTCAAAAAGGTTTACATTAAAAACTAGCATCTACTCGCCCACTCTGATTTGGAGATGCAACTAAACTTATTGTGAAAATATAATATGCTTTGATTTCTTTGAAGTAAAATAAATGCAATTAAACTTGCAAACACAAATAGTTGTTAGATGTTAATCACCTAAAAATGGTTTACATTAGAAATTAGCCTCTGCTCAAACTTACTCATGATTCTGATTGGGAGGTGCAACTAAACTTATCATTGAAAGAGCACATGCTTTGAAGTCTTAAGTAGCTTTACTCAGATAAGCTCAATGTCAAGCTGAAACTGAGCCTGGCGAAAATGTCAAGAAACTGGACAACAGGTATACTATATATGTCATATTTATTTTAGTAAGTAGGAAATAAATAGTAATTTAATATAGAAATTTCATTTATATATCTTTCGGCAAGGAATCAACATGTCTCTCCAGATAACAGACAACAATTAGTAGCCCTTTTTGCCAAAACAAGGTGCTGTTTTCGTCCGAGAAATCAGTGACATTTTGCCGAGGTGCCGTTTTAGCCTCACCCATAAGAGATAACCTAATAGATCAGGTGATCAGGCTTGGTGACCTGGTTCATGGCATCTGACAGTAACCATCTAACAGTGTGGATTGATGTTCACAATATCAATCACTGGATTGTCTAGAATTTTGGGCCTACCTTTAGAATACAGTACCTAACTAATCAAACAGGTCACAGTACCCTGTGGTGTAAATCGTAGTATTCTGTTGCCTGACACACTGGCAAAACAATGCCTTGTGATGTCAGGGGTCATTGGATGTGCATATATATGCTCTTTTCAGTGGTCTATCGTCACCACACGCTATGTTGTTGCATAAGTTTTAATTATTTGTTTACTAAATATTGTTTTAAACATATTTATTTCACAACTTGTGAACTGGATGGGTAAACAAGCAAAAACTTATTTGAATACCGCTCCAGAATTAGAAAACAATATGATATGACAAAAGTACAGTCAAGGAATACAATTATATACATGTTCTTATTATAGAAACTACGTTGTCGGCGCTGTCAGGTCGCATTTTTAGTAGTAATAGTGTACTGCAATACACGGCAAGGAATAGTATTATAAATTTAAGATGCTATGTAAAACCATGAAACCTATTGGATAGCTGAATGTAGTCTTGTACTGATTTAAGAATTTCTAAGTTTATTTTTGACGTCCTTTCAGGATTACCTAATAGAATTGAATTTAGATCATATCCCTTAACATAATAGTACATATT